AAGCTTTGTTAGTTCCAGGTTTAATATGTGCAATAAGTTCATTTCAATAAGTTCTGCAATAAACATTGAACCAGTCCGGCCCTCCACTAGTACCCATTTTTGAATGTTGGCCCACTGTGTATTTGAGTTTGAACCCCCTGGTCTTGAGGCTTGCCTTCTTAAACTTCACCCACAAGGGGGCAGTATAGAGAGGAGTACAATAAGCTCTAAAGAGGTTCAACTTAACCTTATCTGAACACCAAGAGAATTTTCTAGCCAACATGTTGTCAAAATGATACTTATAGTGTCTGTTATGTGGGATTGCACCATCGGGAATGCTTGGAATTTGTAATGACAATAAAGGAATCTAATCTAACGTTCCCAAAGAAAAGCCAAATCCTCTGTCTTCACCACCGTCTCTCCTCTCCACCTCCCCAGCGTTCCTTGACCTCCATCGGGTCGGTCCTCACACTGAGGCTGATCCCAGAGCTGCTGGACGCTCCGCTCAGAGAGACGGCAGTGACGGTGCCGCGGGAGCCGCAGGAGCACAGCAGCTCCTCCCCGAGCAGCGGGTCCTCCTCCGAGTACGATGAGGCCGACTCCTGGGACTGTTTCCAGCACTACAGCCCCACGGAGGAGGAGGAGGAGGAGGAGACCGAGGAGGAGTACGATCCTTTCCCAGAGCGAGAGCAAATCCCAGAGTCTTATCCCAAACTCCACCTGGATGAGGAGGAGGAGGAGGAGATGACGTTAGGGGAGGAGGAGGAAGAGGAGGATGTGGAGTTGTTAGGAAGGAGGAGTGTTTTTGAAAGGAGTGTCAGCAGGCAGTCGGTCGCTTCCTCGGACGTTTCCTCCCAACACACTCCTCAGAGAGAGCGGAGGTTCAGCAAGGACAGCAGTCAGTCCCTCTACCTGTCCGATGGAGAGGAAGGGTCAGGCAGTGATGGGGGTCGAATCCCTCGTGGCAGCGTCATCCGAAGCACCTTCTACAGCACCTCCCACCAGCTGTCTCCCATGTCCGCCAGACACATGACGCTACGGGACAAGTTCAAGGCCAAGAAGCAGGAGAGGGGCCGCAAGCCTCTCCGGAGAAGCCTGTCCGGACGCCTGAACGAGCCTCTCATCGAGTACGTGGAGGACGACCCGGAGACAAACCGTGGGCAGAGACGGGGGTCCGTGCAGCCCACCATGCAGAAGTCCTGCTCCTTTGATAGCGGGGTTAGCCTCCCCCACGCTAACGCCCCCCCTCACAGGAGGAGCAGGTCTCTGGACGAGTATTCCCGAAGATCTCCGAGCTCACCGAAGCCGGATGAGGAGGAAGAAGGGTCTCAAAGTCTGAAGGAGGTGAGAGATTTTTTTATTATCAGCCGTTATGTGTTTGACCTGTCCTTATGTCCGAGAGGCCTATGCACTTGGGAGGATGTTGATGGCTACCCAGAAGTCTTTTAACTTGTTTTAGCACCTACCGTATTTACAATGTTGTTTTTAAAGTATTCTGCATCTCTTTTATGCCTGGGTTTTATGAATCTGTTATTCCATTATGTTTATTTATTGTGTTCCTTTCTGTTGTCTTATTAAGTGTTAAAGGTCCCATGTCATGCTTTTCTGGTTATTACCCGTCCCCTTGTGTGTTACGAAGGTTTTTATGCATTTAAACGGTCTGCAGAGTCAAAACCCTCAAAGTACACCCTGTAGCGAGTAAAACTCTAAGAGTTTTACTCGCTACAGGGTGTACTTTGAGGGTTTTGACTCTGCAGACCGTTTAAATGCATAAAAACCTTCGTAACACACAAGGGGACGGGTAATAANTCAAGACCAGGGGGGTCAAACTCAAATACACAGTGGGCCAACATTAAAAAATGGGTACTAGTCGAGGGCCGGACTGGTTCAATGTTTATTGCAGAACTTATTGAAA